AAAGTCTATATAATCCCCTCTATATATAATTTCAAAATAGGTTAGAGTTTATATGGTAAACTCTCATGTTTCGAAATCTTATTTGGCAAAAAACCATGCTTTGGAGTTAGGTTTAGATATAAATTAATATTTTTTTATCACACTAAATCCATGATTGATATTTTCTTTCTTTACTTCTATAATTAGTTACCATAAATTATTTTATATTTCTTTTTCCTATATTATCATACATTACATTTCATTTTCTTATTTAATTCATTCATTAGTTATTATAGATGTTTCTTCCTCTAATAAAAATAAATAACTATTTATCTAAATTCTAAAATTACATATAAAGTTAGAAAACTGTGAAGCACAACGAATACTACACCTGATGTATTTAGAATTTAATTAAGTAAAAAATTAATATTTTGCTTAATATTAAACAAACATATTTCTGCACTTATGCATATACATATCACCATATTATTTCTATTTATTTAAGATATATATAGATAATTTTATACTATATAAGTAAAAAAATTCAATATGAGTTGACATTTTCATTTAATATACGGGTGTTTAATTATTATGATTAAAAAAATATAATTTGACAATTTAATTAAAACCAAAAATAATGTTTTATATAAAATTAAATTATTGCGTGTTTTCCCTTATTTTGAGTCTTTTCTGTGTTTTTCGGTGGTTTCTTGTTTTCTGCATTTTCTCGTCGTTTGTGGTGTATAGGTCAGGTGTCTCGTCGATTATAAATTGAAGGAGAAAAATATTTTGGGCGAGCCTAATTTTTAGAGAGCTTCGTTGGCGACAAGCAGAATAAAAGGAAATCGAATTCCGAGTCCAAATGAGCTCGAACGGGCCCGAGAAGCAAAGTCGAGCAGGCTGCCTAGACCACCGCACCCGCGCGCCGCGCCGTGACACCCGTCACGGGCGTACAGAGCGTCTCTTCCCAGCATCGCACCGCGCTACTTCCTCGCGCCGCGGTACGCGCTTCTCTCCGCGTCGCGCCACAATCCGCGGAGCACGTCACGCGTCGACAGAGGCACAACACCAGTAGCTCCCTCGCGCCGCGACAGCCTTCTCCCTCGCGCAGCTGCAAAGTCCTCGTGCCGCGAAACACTATTCTTTCGCGCGTGCATGTCCCGTCCACGCCGTGTGATCCTACTGCTATATAAATGAGATCGGGATCGCGACTGATTATCATCTCTCATTCGACGAACACAGAAAACCCTACCCGTCACTCTTTCTCTCGTTCTTTTCATTTTTCTTCATCTTTTTCAACGTAGAACACGGATTTAAACTTGGATTTCAGTATTGCTTTCGGATTCAAGCTTGTTCATCAGATTCAACTTCGGGATTTATCAATCGTATGATTTCTCTTTTAACTTTATCGTTAAATATGAGTTCTTTGATTGAGATTATTGTTGATGTTGAATTGATCATGAGTAGCTAAATCCTTATGCTAGGGATAGGGGATTAATATTTTGGATTCGTTTGTGATTGTTGGGATTTGTTGACTGTTCTATTTGTACAAGTTGTTCTTCAAAAGGGTTTTTCAAATATTAGGCTTGAATATTGAGAATTGTTGAAGGGTGACACTTCAGTTTCCAATTTACTATTGAATTCGATTTATTCTCGCATGATGTTGGCAGTTCTTATTGATTAGTCGGTTAACAATCCTCTAAACTAATTTAATCGACTATTAGAACCGAAAAGGGAGAAGTCGGTCGAAATTAGCTCGTATAAGCTAGGCTTGTTCATAACTGTATTGCCTAGGTGTTAAATGACTTGTTAATTTGTCGTTCAAGTTTGTTCTCTTGTTACAAAGAGTTATTGAAGATGAGTACTTGAACGAGCAGGTTATTCAAATCACTTAATTGAACGATCACTTGCCCAATAGTCGCAATTCGAACCAAAACGGATATACCCGACTCCCTAGCTTCTTAAATCTTGCTTGTTCTACGTGTTACTTTGCTATTTTAATTTACTTAATTTAAATCTTAGTAGTTGATAATCAAAAATCAAATCAAAATCTGAATTAAGATGTTTAGGAATTTTATTTCTTTTATTGGTGTTTGAATAAACGTGCATAATAATCCGGCTAACCTTCCTCGAGGGACATGACCCGGTGTTCGAATCTTTCGATTCTACTCCGGAAAAATATTTATAACAATTAGTACCATGAAGTCTTAGTAATCTTATATCTCATCATAATTTTATATTGCCACAAAAGTATAAATACTTAATTTATTTTTTAAATGAAAAAGTATTTACAAAAATGTAATGGTCAGGAAAAATACAGTTGACCCGATCTAATCAATGATCGGATTGACTAGTTTTGATCGGGTTCCTTGTCATCTAGTCCAAAAGACACACACAGAGCCGAGACTGGTCCGAGTCAAAAACACTAATTGAAATCTCTATTTCTTTTAAAATCATTTGTTTCTTTTAAATCCGCAAAACATTATTGTCGCATGCATCGTTATTAGAACTATACTTATGAACTTTTCCAAAAAAAAAAAACAAACAGGGGTGGTTACGGATTGAGATTTGGCATGTCCCTGTACTTATCCTGTTTTTATGAATCGGTTNACATATAAGAAAAAGTGTGAGGGGTAGATAGTTATTAAATCGTAATCTCCCCTTGGCCCTTTAATTGACATAGAACCCAGTCATCTAATAAAAGGCGGTTCATACACTTTAAGAATCAAATCAAACTTTTAAAATGCGTAAATTAATACGAGGTTTCCTTAAGCAATTCTTTGACTCAATTGCATCGACCCTCGTACCGCCGCCCGATTCCACTCTGCAAGAACTCCGAATCATTCTCTTCTTCTTCTTTGGAAAATCTATCTCGTGTCTCGTCGTCCATGATTCCACGCTGCAAGAACTCGAAACTAACATCTTTCGATATAGCATCGTCGAATTAGTCGTACATGCAGTCTGCACTGGAATATGAATATTGCTGACACGTGGCGTTTTTTTTTTGCAAACATAACTGCTCTTCATTTTCTGCTATTTTTACAACCACTGCCATTGCTTTGACATTAAAATTATTAGAATGCTCTGGGAAGTTGAGTACTGGGAAGTCTGGCCCTTTTTGCAGGACTTTTGCACGTTTGCCTGTCCCTCAGACCAAAAAAGGAGTCTTATTTTTTATCTTTATGCACAATCTTCCATTATTCCTCGATGACCGAAAAGACAGAAAGTAGAGAAGAGAGGTTCATTCCTCCACCGGTCTCTCCATGGTCTGCGCCCTCCTCCCGCTCCGACTAAGGTCTTCATTTCTCAAACCCTACCCAAACATAATTTTCTCCAACTCGCCGCTGCTGCCGCACTCTCAATGGAGTCAAACCCTTTTTCATCGTTTCTTTAAACTATTTCTTCTCTTGACTGACAGACCCAAAACGGGCACAGCGACTGAGATCAGCTGACCGCGCTCATGGCCGGCGACAACCGAAGGTTTCGGGCTGGTGGCATTTGAGCGACTATACTGTTCGGCGGGCGGCGACTCTGATGAGGTGGCATCTTAGATCTGCATGCGGCAGCCTAGCGACTGAGAGCATCGAGCGGCATTGCGTCTGACGGCCGGTGATGTCCGTTGAAGCATGGCGGAGATCAGCGGCGCCGACTGAGAGATGCGCGACTGTGAATCCCATTGGTAAGTTTTCTTCAGTACAATTTTCTATTTTTTCGTTATTTAGGTATGGATATTTTCTTGAGGTGTTCTTATGAGCTTAACAATGCCAATTGTAAATTTTTTGATGTTATTGAATAATCGTAGTCCATGGAACTTACTTTCTCACATACTATTTTTTCGAAGGAAAAATACAATCGAGTTTTTGTTGGTTTTTCTACTTTTGCTATAGGTTGTGCATCGTATCCATGACCACATGTTTTGTTTGGATGAGAAGCACAAAGAGCAATTGAAGGAGGAATTTGGTAAGCTTTTTTAATTTTATTTATTTATCCCTGCATAATTATGTATGTAAATAATTATCCAATTAGTAAATTTGCAAGAAATCTTATTGTCTTTGAATTAAACGTTGAAACTTGGACATTTGAGAAACATCTTGGTGAGGCTGTGTTTATTCCTGCCGGCTTTCCTCATCAAGTGAGAAATAGAGTTTATTTGTTGATAAATGTTTTAGGTGTGCACTTTGGCAATGCTTGAATGGATGATCATTCTGTAATTATTCTTATAATTTCAGTCACTTTGTTTTACAGATCTTTTGCATCAATATATATATAACTTATTCACATTTATTATAATTTAATCACTGCATTTATTTTTGTATTTTGAAATTTTGCTATCTGAAAATTTTCCAGTCATGCACTAAAGTTGCAGTGGACTTTGTTTCATCTGATAATGTTCAAGAATGCATTCGATTAACACGAGAGTTCCAGAAGCTTCAGGGTTGCTTGTGGTTTGTTATGTCGCTTTTCCATATGTTACTTCACACAGAATTCACGATTTTTTTTACTGTATAATGGTTACAATCTAATTTTAGATAACTTCTTTTGGAGCTCGACGACTCGCTGAGGTTCTCTTATTTAGGAGGTTGGTTTTTTTGCGGAAGGTGTCAAACTATTTTGCTGAATCTGCCACTTGGTATGGTTTAGTTTTGAATTTATGGGCATAATTAAGCTTGACTGTTGGAGTTTATTATTTTGATTGAAACTGGGGCATTGGAATTCATGAGTAATTGTTTAGAAGTTTAGTAAGTACTCTATTGAATTTTCACCTCATGCTATTCAGGCAACGCATGCAGTGGGTCAGCTCGATAATGTCTATTTTGTTATGGCTTCCCTTTCAACCTAGGCTTGCTTTCTTTCTTTATTTACATGTGTACCTAAAGCTTTATTCAAAATACTAATATAGTTGTAGATGTTGTTTATTAGCCTTTTACTATTAGGCCAAAACTCAAGAATTGCCATATTTACAAAAGAAATTATTTGCAGTTGAGTATATTTATTTTTCATGTTAGTAAGAGAGGGGCAGGTCAGAGTGCATACTCTGGTTGTTGGAGCTCGACAACATCAACGACGGGTCACAATCGAGGCGGATCGAAGGATTTCGTGGGGGTTACTATACTTGTCGGAATCCCGATTCTCTTAGATGGAATCTTAAGCCTCTCCGCCGGAATCTCAATCCTAATTTTAAGGTGAGTTATATAATGATTTTAATACTTTTATAATTTAGCCAAAACTATTCGCGTTGATGGGTTAGGGTTTCTATGGATTATCATTTTTTTTTATAAATAATTTTAATACTTATAATATTCTATATTTAATTTCATGTTGAGAGTCTGCACTCTAAGTTTGGGTGGTACGAATATTATGCTCAGAAAATGACAATTGAAATGTGTGGATCCATATGGCGGAGACCCTGTTGGCCCGAGAAGGAAGATGGTGAGTTAGTGACAGAGAAGCTGGAAAGGATTTTCAGGTGGAGCACGGTTAGAGGGTACAAATCAAATTTCTGAAACCTTAAAACATGATTAGTTATATAAATTGATTAGTTTTAGTTCATGGTTTGACCCACATTTTTTTTCTGTTTTGGTTTGATGCACAGCCACTTAAATGAAGATGATGTAAAGGACATTAATTAGAGATTTGGCTCTCCTCCAAACTGTGATGTTGTGGACACTCTTTGAACAAGGAAGAACCAAGGTATTTTGTCCATTTTCTTTGTGTTTTTTTTTTTTTTTAAAAAAAAAAATCCTATAAAAATGAATGTGATATTTTGACACAATTAAGCATATAACTATAGCTTATAACCTTCCTTTTAAAAAAAACGAAATAATAATTATACAGTATTAAAAATATTGTCTAAATTCACATTCTTTATAGATATGGGCACCAGGTCCACTAGAGGAAAAGGTGCAAAACATAGTCAAGACATGGGAAATGGAGATGTTCCACAAAGTGGATTTTGATGATCTTAAGTCTGTGGACCCTATCAAGTATAGGTCAGCCTTAATGGTATCGATTATCTTTTATACTTAATTAAAAAAATCTATATATATGGTCTTGATATAGTAAGACTAATTGATTTAATTCAACAAATCAGTTTTCTGTTGACAATACCACTTAGCATGGGATACATACATAATCTGTTGAATTTGTATTATTGCTATGATGTCGAAGGCATCACAGAAATGTTGAGTAAATGCATTGTCGAGGTTTGTTTTAGATGTTCAATATCGATGTGTATAATTCCCCAATGTGGAAGTGGATTATAAGCCTATGTGGTGTTTCTTTACTGTGTTGTATTACAAAGTGCTTGAACATCTGGATGTGTATAATTCCCCCATAGGGGAGTGGATTATAAGCCTATGTGGTGTTTCTTTACTGTGTTGTATTACAAAGTGCTTGAACATCTGTGAATGTCATTTTGATGATATATGAAAACTACCAAATTTGTTTTCGACATTTCAAGTGAGTGTTCTAGGTGTTAGTAAAACTGATTAATTTTATCGAACAAACCAGTTTTCTGTTGACAATAGCGCCTATCATGGCATACGTACAAAATTCGTTGAGTATTGTACTATTGTGTTGATGTCAAAGGCACCACTCGAATGCTGAGTAAATGCGTAGCTGAGATTTGTATTCAGACATTCAATATAGATGTGTATAACCCAGTCTTATGGAATTAACTTACAAATATATTATTGTGTATTTTTAAATTTTGACAAATATTGATTATAATTATATACTGGACTAGAGTCGGCTGTGCGTGCACAGCCATCCGGCCAACTAGTATATATATATATAAATGGATTGGTTCCAATGCATCCACTTATTTAAAGTGAGGACGTGAGACTAATTTTTACCCACAAGATTTGGTACATCATGTGTGGCCAAGATTTACTCTTTTCTTTTTATTATTTTTATTATTTAAATATTATTTTGACCCGTTGACTCCGGCGTTGACCGTTGACTTCCGACTTTGACTTCCGGTGAAATTCATTGACTTTCGTCGTTAACCGTTGACTCTCGGTGTTGACCGTTGACAACTAACCTTCCAACTAGGTTAAATCTCTGTAGTTACTAGATTAGTTCTATGTAGTTGTTAGGCTAGTTGTCTGTAGTTGATAGGTTAGTTCTCTGTAGTTGCTAGGTTGGTAGTTGATAGGTTTTTTTTTTTTTATAAACAACGCCCCGGAAGGGCGGGAAATTGGACTAGATCCCCAACCTATGCATAGATCAAGACCCCAAAACGGGGGTCAAAATATCAACATACTACAATGAACAATCTCGCAAGCAAAACAAAAGAAACAAAAAAGAAAAAACAAAACAAAGTCTATCTTCGGGCTAACAGGTGCCCGGAATAGAAAATCTAATCTAATGAAAGCAATAAACCTAATCTACTGACGGAATGATGGGTATCCAAGCTGGTCCATCCATACAAGCGTGCGGAGGCGGAGTGGAGCAGTGTTGGTCTGGTATGGTGGCGCCAAGGCTGGCAAAATAGTCAGCATTTCTGTTCCCCTCATGGAAAATGTGCGTGATCCTGTGATGGACAGACCGAAGTAGAGCTCTAATGCGCATAAGCGGGTGCTGAATCTGCCACGAGCTCTAGTGGCCTGAAGTCAGGAGGGTGGCGACAGCCGCAGCGTCCAGCTCGATCCAAATGACTAGAGAGGTGGACAGCAATCTGAAGGTCAATCTGTAATGTATGAATCTCTGCATCGTAGCTCGAGGAGGCCTGAAGGGGCGCGTGGAAGGCGGTGATGAGGGCGCCGCTCTGGTCCCGGATCAAGTCTCCTCCTCCAGCAGCTCCGGTATGACAATCAAAAGAGCCATCAGTGTTCAGTTTGACCCAAGGAGAGTCGGGTCGAAGCCAAACAACAGCTCTGGGCCAAGGGGGCCGAACAGGCGATGAGGAAGCCACCATGTATCGGTGTGGCGGCGTGCAGCCTGTCCAGTCTCGGGCCGTGAGCCTGCTCAATGCTGTGAGGAGTAAAAGATGTCTCTCTACCTGCAAAACAATGTGAGAAAACAAAAAAGTAATATCCTTATGCTTCGCACTATTCCTCTCCGTCCAGGTGAACCAAATAATTAGATAAGGAATAAGGAAGCCCACGTGTCTAAGGTGTGTGCTCTGTGAGAAAAAACTCAAGAGCTCAAAGAAACTGCTGTGGTGGGTAGGGATATATGGGTCCAAGTGGCAAAATGCTCCCACACTCTCCTCACAATCTCACTCTCTAGAAAAAGGTGGGTAAAAGTCTCGATCTCATGGCGTCCAGTCTCAGAACAACACACATACCGAGAGGAGAAGGAGAAAACACACACGATGATGTAAGTCTCCACCTCATGACATCCGAACCGTCCCCCGAGATTGAGATCTGCTGGATCTGATCTAATAAATGCTCCCTAAAACCCACACCAGAGCCCAACTCCCTATCTAGCTTCCCCCTATCCTACGACCCATCCGTCCAAAGGTCACTCACAAGTAGGTAGGGGGAATGCGTCAGCTGCCTATCCCTAGACAACGGCCTATCACCTAACCACAACTCATCCCAGAAACTAACCTCGTCGTCGCCCAAAACCCAGAAGATGTGATCCTAGGGACGCCTACCGACCCTAGTGAGGCGCCGCCACTGTCTGCTATCATGATCAACAGCAATCGCCCAACAAAGGTGGTTGGCACGTCTAGGGCAGTACTTGCCGCGAAGGTACTGAGCTCAAAGCGACTTTCACTCCCTGAAGCGCCACCACAGGTTGTAAGAGAAAGTTGTAACAATATCCCTAAAGCGGCGGATGCCAAGGCCACCCTCAGAGAAGGGGCGGCAGATAGAGTCCCAACTCACCCAGTAGGTACGTCTCCCCCTCCCGGAACCGTCCTCGTAACCCCAGAAATAACGAGCCATAATATGGTCAATCTCGTCAAGAGTAGACCTAGGGGGGTCGAGGACCATAAACAAATGAATCGGAAGTGAGCTAAGAGCGCTCTTGATCAGCACAAGTCGACCACCGAAAGAAAGATGTCTATGCGACCAACCAGAGATTCTGTCAATCATCCTTTGCATGACGCCCGCAAATAGCGCTCTCGTGAGGTTGCCCTTATATAAAGGGACACCAAGGTAAGTAGTGGGAAGGTCGCCGCGCGCAAAGCCGGTAATCTTGTGAATCCGCTGGGCCCACATGTCCGCACTGGAAGAGGAGAGGGTGAAGGTGCTCTTCTGCACATTGACCAGCTGGCCGGTAACCGAGTCATAGTGCTCTAGAAGGCGCATAAGCTCGACCAGTCCATCATCATCTGCTTGGGTGAAGATGATGATGTCATCCGCATAAGAGAGGTGAGAGATGGGAGGACCATAGCCACGGGCGCTGTCGATCATCCAAGGAGAGTCGCGGATGAAGTCGTCAAGGCAGCGAGAGAGGTAGTCCGCCGCAAGGACAAATAGGGAAGGAGAATGGGGGTCGCCCTGTCTAAGATCTCTAGAGGAGGGAAAAAAGTCGGTGGGACTACCATTAACCAGGACTGAGAACGTGCAATACTCCACACACGCCTCCACAAAACTAATCTAACGCTCAGGAAAACCCATCCTAGCTAGTGCCTCCCTCAGACACCCTATCTAGCTTCAGCGCGATATTCGGAGCTCGCTTCCAATCCGCACGGGAGATGTCGTGGATCATCTCCTGGCCAGAAGAATGTTATCACTAATGACTCGATCCTTAACGAAGTCACTCTGGTTGGGAGAGATGAGGGAGGGGAGAAGAGGGGAAAGACGGCCGTTAAGAATCTTCGAAATGAGCTTGTTGGTCACGTTACACAAACTGATGGGTCTGTAGTCGGACCAAGATCTCGGGTGGGGTCTTTTAGGGATCAAGACTACAGAGATAGACGTGAAGGAATTCGGCATCCGGTGACCGGAGAAAAAATCCAACATTGTCTCATTGACGTCAGGTTCGACTAAATCCCAGCAGACCTGGTAGAAGAAAGAGAAGAAACCATCCGGGCCAGAAACACTGTTGGAATCAATCCCGAAGACAGCATCCCTAACCTCCTCCCTACTCGGAAGGTCACAGAGGCCAATAAGATCGACCGAATGAGGGATGGTGGGGAAGAAAGAAGCGGTCGGGGCAACGAGAGTACCTCTGTCAGAGGTGAAGAGGGTCTGGAAGTGAGCAACAACCGACTCCCAAATTTGAGATTCCTAGGTCAGGGATGACCCATCATCCTCGATACTATGGATATACGACTTAGTACGCTTCTGTCTAACGTAGCCTAGGAATAACCTAGTATTCCGCTCACCCTCGACCACCCAGCAAACGACCGCCTTCTGCTTCCAGAAGTCCTCTTCCATAAAGAGTCGGAGTTGGTACTCGGTTTGGCAATGGTGCATCGCATTCCTATTCTCCGGAGTGGGGTCTAGGTCATAGGCCTGCTCAGCCGCCGCGTGCGCACTCTGAGCCGCAGAAAGGCGCTGATGAATGTTTCCAAAAACATCCAAGTTCCACTGTCTCAACCGACGCTGCAGTCTGCCGAGCTTCGCCTCGAGATTGCGCATCCCGAAGAGCCCAGTCGGCTGAAGCCAGAAATCCCTGACAATGTCGTGGAAGGAGTGGTGGCGAACCCACATGTTCTGGAACCTAAAGGAAGAGCGATGGGGGGTGTTCGAAAATCGGTAGCGGATGAGAAGGGGTGAATAGTCGGATCCAAATCGAGTAAGGTGTGTGACGGTCGTAACCGCAAACACCTTCGCCCACGCCTCAGAGACCAAGGCACGATCGAGCTTCTCTTTGAATCCGTCCTTCACCCACGTGAAGGGCTCACCATCACAACCAGCGTCAATTAACTCACAGTCCGCCACCGCCTGAGCAAAATCCCACATCTCCCGTGACTGGTCCGAACGGCCACCCACACACGCATCGGGGTGCAGAAAGGTGTTGAAATCGCCACTGACCATCCATGGCAATCCCTCCATAGTCTCAACAACCTCACGCAAGGTGTCTCAAATATCATATCGCCCGACCCTTGTACACTTGGCGTAGACCAA